GAAGGTTTTCTCTGGCCAGGTCTTGCTCCACTCCCCTTATTTTTGCCATGCTAGGGATTAAACGAGGTCCCGGAGTGTGGCACCATGTGCTCTCCTGCTGAGTTACACACCTAGCTCAACTTTTCTACTAAGTATTGTATTTTGTAGGGGTTTTATTTGCATTATTATTAAGGTTATTGTTATTTTGAAGTGTTGAAGATCCAACCCAGGGCTTCCCACATACTGAACAATCTAGGCCTATGTTTGATTTCTATGAAGACTTGGTGGTAATCAAGGAAATAGCAATAGTCATTGGGGAAGAAATGGATTATCAAATGTAATTCTGAAGAAACTCACAAATTATTGAAGGGGTATCAAGCTTATTTTTCAGATTAAAATAAACACTACAATAAGTTGTAGGTGGATTGTAGAACTACATGTAAAAAGTTAAAATATAAAAGTGCTTTCTGAGTATATATTTCTAAATCATTTAACTGAATTTAAAAACTTAAAAACCTCTCTCTTTCTTTCCTGATTCTCACATAGCCCAGGGTGGCCTCAAACTTTCTGTGTAGCCGAGGAGGCCGTGGATACCTGATCTTATTGCTATCACCTCCCAAGCATTGGGGCTATAGCTGTGTGCCACCACATCTACTTTAAATACATTTCTTGGAAGATATTATTTTTTATATTTTTATTATCGACATATATCTCTAAAGTATGCTACCACGTGTATTTTAGATATTAGAATATTGATATGTATCTCATAATTTTAAAAAGCCAATTTTTTTTGTTAATGATACTGATACAGAAAGCTTTAGTTCAATAATTTTCACAAATTAGTAAATGTACATTTTATGAATATATACAATTTAAGAATTGCTAGATATTCAAAGTGTTTGCATTTTCATTAAAATAAAAAATACTGCACTGAACATTTTTTAAACAAATCTCTTCAGTATATGTGGGGGTTTCTTTGAGGGATATTTGAAAAATATGTTATTACTTTTATTTTACATGTATGAGTGCATAGCCTGCATGTATATAAGTGCATTATATCATGCAATGCCCACAGAGGTCAGAAGAGGGCTTTGGATCCCCTGGAACTGGAGTTATAGACAGTTGTTAGCCACCATGTGGGTGCTGGGAACTGAACCTGGGTCCTCTGCAAGAGCAGTCAGTGTTTTCGTAACTGAGCCATCTCTCCAGTCCTTCAAGGAATATTTTTTTGGTGTAAGTTCTGGGTCACAGAATAGCACAGCTTTTCTGTTTTACAGTCTGTAGCTATAGTTCCCTCTGGAGTGATTTTTTTTGGACTCACACTGCCACCAGTATGGTACAACTAGTTTTCTAGTTATTTCATACCCAGGCAGAAACTGGTACCAGGAAACTTTAGGTTTTGTATCAATTTGAGGGTTTGAAACATTATTTCATTTTGTCTTTAGCTGATATTTTCTTGAATGCTAGCAGAGCCCATAAATTCGTTTGCTCCTGTGGAAACCTTGTTCTAGGATTTGTCACAGCTCTTTTTGAGCATTTTCTTTTTTTAAAAAAGACAGGATTTCACCACGTAGCCCTGGCTGGCCTGTAAACCAGGATGGCTTTGAACTCACAGAGATCCACCTTTCTCTGCCTCCTGAGTGCCGGGATGAAGGTGTGCACCACCATACGCAGTCCTCCATATTAGTCTTTAGTTGGCTAAGTGCATCGCAAATCTTCTTCTACATTGTGGTCATCTTTTAATTTTGTTGATGGAATCTTTTATCTATCTATCTATCTATCTATCTATCTATCTATCTATCTATCATCTATCTATCTATCATCATCTATCTACCTACCATCTATTTGTCTGTCTATTATCTATCTACCATTTATCTGTCATCTATCTATCTATCTATCATCTATCCTTCTATCTATCTATCTATCTATCTATCTATCTATCAATCATCTATCATCTCTCTGTATCTTGTTTTTGTTTTTTTTTAAGATACAGTCTCCCTGCAGCCAGCCTGGAACTCGCTATATAGCTGTGTAGATCAGGCTGGACTCCATCTCACAGAGATTGCCTGCCTCTGCCTCCTGAGACGTCCTGGGTTAAAGGTGTGTGTCACCAAGACTGGTGCTCATTTTTCATACAAGAATGCTCAATCCATGCAGAATTTAATTTTGAATATGATATCAGCTAGAATTTCTATCACCAATGCACGGGTTCATTGATCAAACGGTCCCTTTTCTTCCCTCTGGTGCTCAGTTCAACAGCTCTCATGGATCAGTTCCCCGCTTAGCTGTGTGTGGCTGACCTCTCCACGCTGTGTCACCTACATATCAAATAGTTTGATAACAAGACGTGTCTTATATTGTACAAGTTGTGTCCTGTTTAGGGGCATCGGGATGAAATGGGTGGAGTCTGAAATTCAAATCTAACTTGGAACACTCTGGGCCTGTCTGCCAGGAGGGGCAACGGTTCAGATGCACAGAAAGTCACTGCCAGCGGGGTAAACGACATGCCTCCAGCATGGGTCCCCTCTCTGCCCCCAGTGCCTCCAGCTTGGGTCCCCTCTCTGCCTCCAGTGGCACTGTTTCTTTTTCTGGGAAGTGATACTTAAAAACTACTGCAGGTCCTTAGCCAGTGCCTAATTGAACAATTCTTTCACCATGTCTTTTTTGAAAAGTGCCTGAGCTATTCTCAGCCCTTAGGTTTTAGTGTGTGTGTGTGCGCGTGTGTGCATAGTTTCAATGATGCATCTTTTTTAGACACATCAACAAATTTGTATGTTTTTTATATTTAATCTTCATATTGATAGGGCATATTCATTTATTTATGCCTTTTAATAGTTTGATAAATTCTTTGCCAAAGTTTTGTCTATATTTGTAGATTTATTCCCAAATAGTCTTTCTCATTCACATTTCACACACACACAAAGTTGCACATATTTTTACAAAGATGAACATATTTTTCTTAGGCTTACTGCTCACTCACAGTGAATTTACTTTTTTTGGCATATCTGTGGAGCGCTCTCTCCCCAGTGATTCATAAAATCTTTTACGTGGAAGATGTTTGACTTTGCTGTATTCCCTCTTCCCCTATTTTCCGTTTTCCTTTTAATTCTTTTTCTTTGATGGCGGAAAATGTAATTTTGTGTTAACCTGTGGTTTCTTTCTCTCTTTTTTCTTATACCAAGATTAAATAACTATTAATCTATATATTTACCTTTAAAGTTAGTTTTATTTTACTTTTTAGTCCATCTGGAGTTTGTTTTGGTGTTTGCTGTAATTAATAATGTCAGTTTTATTTCTTTTTTTCTTCCTAGGAAGTTAGGAATTAAATGCAAATGTTATTATTTTATTCTCCAAGAACAGTGCCTTAGTCATGAATTTCTGACGGTGGCTTCATTTTCATTCTTGTTAACTAAGGAGTTAATAAGTCTTGGAGTTTTAGTCAATCAATTAGACATTTTCAAAGGTCAGAGAATACTTTGCCCTGCAGTAGTTCCCGGGTGAAGGCTTCCAGCAGGCCTCAGACCACAGTGCTCTGTAGCCTGTGACTGCAGACACATGCAGGCGGATGAAGAAACCGAGGAATGTGGGACACACATTGCCACTTATAATTTTCCTTACAGGGAAGGAGTTTTCAATTTCTGTGGAACGTGAGAAACTGAGGCAAAGGGAAAGGCCGGGCGGCACCGAAGGGAGAATTCCTCAGACAGTTTGAGGTATTGATAGAAGTTGAAACAAGTTAAGAAACGACCTAGGAAAGGCTGGTAAAGATAAAACGTTGAGGCCTTTTGTTGCACGATGGAAAATTAAACACTCAGAATATAACATGCCACATGAATTCATCACTTGCCTTCAACAATTCTCATTTCAAAAGTCACTTCGTCTCTGTCCCCGTTCCCCTCCCCACTGCATTACTTTGAAGAAAATTGTAACTATTCTATCTTTTCATATGTAAAGATTTTAGCGAATTTCTGAAAAAAAAATCAAAACTCTTGGAAACAACAAAAGAAACAGGTTGGCAATGCAAGCGCCCCCTTGAACTTGCTCTTAGCCACAGTTCAACCTGATGTAAATCCTGGAGTGTGAAACCTGCAACCTGGATTTGCCTGACTCTCAGTTTCCAGCCCTCTGAGTCCCACACTTCCTTCATTTTCTCTAATGTGCTTCCTCTTTAAGGAGGGAACTACAGGAGGGCACTCATTTGGGACTATCATTGTCCAGCTAGAACCATGAACCACTGGCTTCCAGTCTAATTCTCCTCTTGGGTAAATGACCTTGAGGACAGACCACCTGAAGGCCATAGATCTTTGTCCGAGCCTGTCTACAGCATCGCTTTTGAGAGGTCTCCTGCTGAAGAGCACGTCACTTTGGTACTATGTATTTTACTTCACTGTTTGGAATCCAAAACCTTTGCACAACCGTTCTACCAGTCTCTCTCTCTCTCTCTCTCTCTCTCTCTCTCTCTCTCTCTCTCTCTCCCCTCATGTAGTGTAGCTGGCCTTGAACTTGCTGTGTAGAGGATGACCTTGAACTCCCACTGCTCGGGTTTCCCCCTCCCAAGCGCGCTGGGGCTCTAAGCGCAGCCACAGCACCTGCACAGGCCCCCGGCTCCCTCATTAAACTTTAGAGGTCTAGACATCCCTAAGCATAACTAGTTGTCACTAGCAGGGACTGATTCTAGGCGTTTCTTCAGTCTTTTGTTTCATCCACATTCCCTTAGTCCTGGCCCTGAGAAAAGACTGCTTTTTGCTGGGCGGGAACTCCCAAGCTCCCAAACTTGGAGGCCTTTTAGCCACCAGAGCGCCTCAGATAAGTCACAGGAAAACAATTCTTATTTCTTTCCCCACAAAAGCCACAGCAATCACAAGAAAAGAATGAGGCTGGCCGCTTCTGACTGCCAAACGCGGTATCCTTAGGGGAAAATCGCTCTTCTCCCTACTGGGGGAAGGCTTAAGAAGCCTTTCCAAAAGGGGCCGGCTGGGCGCGTCCTCTTCCCGACGCCCTATTTCTATTCTTAGACTGGAGGTAGGCGGCTTTCGCTTTTTCTCTTCCAGTTCCCAGACCTTCCCGCGGATGGCCAGGCCGGCCGGCTCTCGGGTGGCTCCTCCCCCGCGGCTCCTGCGCGCCGTCCGGGTCCCGGTTGCGATCGCGGTCACGGTCACGGTCGGCGGCGCGGGCGCTGGGCAGGCCGGGGCCGGGTCGGGCCCCTGCGGGCGGAGCCGCGGGGGAGGAGCGTGGGGCGGACGAGGAGCGGCCGCGCCTTCCGCAGCCTCGGGCGCCCAGGGCGCGGGCACGGGCGCGCGTGGGGCAGAGCTCGGCTGGCGGGTCCCGGGCACCATGGCCAGTGGCCTGGGTCAGGGGTGCGAGGAGGACGAGGAGGAGGAGGGTCTGAAGAAGCTGATCGTCAGGCTGAACCACGTCCAGGAGAGCAAGCAGGTCTCGACGCTGGTGCAGCTGCTGGAGGACCTGCTGGTGTTCACCTACTCCGACCGCGGTACCGCACCCCTCCCCGGGCAAACTTCCCCCGCGCCCCTCCTTCCGGCCGGGGAGTGGGAGTCCGGGAAGCTTGCTCCTCGTCCCCTTCCGATGCACAAGGATGCTGTTTGGTGATTTGTTTTGCCTCCACTCCCTCCTTTTTTCCAGCCTCCAAGTTGTTCGAAGGTAAAAATTTCCACGTGCCCCTGCTGCTCGTCCTGGACTCCTACATGAGGGTGGCCAGCGTGCAGCAGGTAAGGGCCTGCGCTCTCCTTTCCCATCGGTGCCAAGACCCGCTCCTACCGGCCCAATCCCGGGTTCATGGTTGTTTCTGAGATTTGCTGTGAACTGCTGACTGACTTTAAACCTTGACAAATGCCTAGTCACTGTAAGGAGGGAGGAAGGGCCCGCAGCGTTCCCTTAGGGGCAACTTTATAAACTGGCTGACGGGATCTGGACGCTGGCAGGAGCAGAGTGAAAGCAGGTTGAAGTTTGGTTCTGTTTTCAGCAAGATGAGTTCATTAGTGTGTCAAACTATTCCAAGAATTTTCCTACTGTACAATGTGTCTTTAATATGGCGCTGTTGTGAATACTGTCTGCAAAGGGGGTTTGATTAGTAGTAGTAAACAAATAAATGGGCAGCTTTCATAGGTGTAGCCTGTTTTTACCTTTTTAAAATTTGAAGACAGGTTCCTAGCCATCTTCCATCACAGTAAACCTTGAATTACCTAAAGAAAGTGATGTTTCAAGAATCCCCTATGTATTTACATTTATACTTTGTAACCGTTGTCACATGAAATGGATTACAAAAGGAACTTTTTAGATCAGTATCATAGGAAATCCAGAAAATTGCCAAGTACTTGAAC